ATTTTAATTGCTAGTACGATTTCATTTCTAGTGATCGATTTGTTGAAGTGGTCAGTTTCTCCTTGATTCAGTCTTGGTGGACTGCATGTTTCCAGAAACTTGTCCATCTCCTCTAGGTTATCCATTTTGGCTCCATATAGTTTTTCATACTATTCTCATATGATATTCTATATTTCTATATTATTTGTTGTAATTTCTCCATTTTCCTTTCTAATTTTGCCAATTTCTGCTCTCTCTTTTTCCTTCTTTGTGAGTTTGGCCAGAGGTTTGTCGATTTTATTTACACTTTCAAAAAAAACAGCGTTTGTTCTGATTGATTTTTCTGGGTTTTTTTAATTTCTATTTTATTTATTTCCTCCCTAATCTTTGTTATTTCCTTCCTTCTGCTGACTTTTGGGGGCTGTTGCTCTTCTTTTTCCAATTCTTTTACCTGGTGGGTCAGTTTATTTGAGATTGTTCTTCTTTTTTGAGGAAGGCCTGTATTGCTGTAAACTTCCCTCTTAGCACTGCCTTTGCTATGTCCCATAAATTTTGTGTGGTTGTGTTTTCATTTTCATTTGTCTCAAGGTATTTTTTAGTTTCAGCTTTGATTTCCTCATTGACCCATTGATTTTTTAATATCATATTGTTTAATCTCCATGCTTTCCTATTGTTCTCTATTGTTTTTCTGTTGTTGATTTCTAGTTTCATGGCATTGTGGTCAGTAATGATGCTTGAAATCATTTCTATCTTCTTAAAATTGTTGAGGTATCTTGTGCCCAAGTACATGATCAACCCTAGAAAATGTTTCATGTGCACTTGAAAAGAATGTATATCCTATTTTTGGGGGATGTAATTCTCTGAAAATAACCACCAAGTCTAATTTTTCTATTGTATCATTTAATTTCTCTTTTGCCTTATTTATTTTCTTTCTGGAAGATCTGTCTTGTGATGTTAATGCAGTGTTAAAATCTATGACAATGATTGTATTCCCATCAATATCACCCTTTATCTCTGTCAGCAAGTATTTTATATACTTAGGTGCTCCTATATTGGATGCACATATATTAATGAGTGTAATATCCCTATCTTGTATTAGTCCTTTAATCATTATAAAATGTCCTTCTTTATCTTTCTTTATGGCCTTTGTTTTCAAGTCTATTTTGTCTGAAATCAGTACTGCTACTCCTGCTTTTTTGGCTTTTCCATTTGCATGGAATATCCTTTTCCATCTTTTCACTTTCAATCTATATGTGTCCTTCTCCCTAAAGTGGGTCTCTTGTATGCAGCATATTGAAGGTTCTTGCTTTATTATCCAGGCTGCCACTCTATGTCTTTTGATTAGAGCATTTAGTCTATTAACTAACTAATGATAGATTGTGTTTATTGCCATTTTGAACCTAGTTTTGCATTGATTTGGTATTTCCTCTTTGTTCTTTTCTTCTTCCTTTTGTGGCTTGGTAATTTTCCTTTGTATTATCTGGGATTATATTTAGTTTTTGTGCCCCCCTTGTAAGTTTTTGGCTTGTGGTTAACCTTTTTTGTAAATCTATTAACCCATTACTATAACTGTTTGTATTAAACAGATAGTAATATAAGCTCAAACCCATCCTACTAAGAATAAAAAATTTAAAAAAGAAAGAGAACTACTGTATATTGTCTTGCTTCCCTCTCCCACTCTTAATGATTTAGATGTGTTCTTTTGCAATTTCATCTTTATTCTATTTGTAATTCATGTTAGTTACCACCTTTCCAGTTATGAGTTTCTCGTTTCTGTAGCATCCTGCTTCTTTTCTATT